AATATACACATCTGTAAATACTTCTGAACCAAGTGCCATTATAGCCCCAGAGTTTATTTCAATTATATTGTCAATTATCTTAAATAATAGACTAATTTGATGTGTGCAATCTGAGTGCTCTTATTTCCTTCTTCCTCTACTGTAATGTGCGCAACAATGACACTGAAACTTCTCCACTGCGAAATGAAAAGGTATATCTTATCTTATCTTATCTTAAATAAAATACCGTACACTTTGTTAAATATAAGTTCAACAGGTTATAGGCAATCTTTTTAATATAATAATAGTGTTAATTAACATTGAACCAGTCCGGTTCTAGGCTTTAGAAAAACATTTTTTTTGGCCCTCTGATGTATTTGACTTTGACATCCCTGAGCTAGGGGTAAACATTTTCCATATGTTGCTTCTCAGCAAGAAGGTTGGAACAGGGCCTTTCTGAGTTTAGTTTTCATGTTCTCCCCGTCTCCGCGTAGGTTTCCTCCAGGTGTATGGAGGACCAAAAATGACTAAAGTATAAATAAATAAATAAATAAATAAATACAGGAATATATTAATAAATACATTCATTTTGGACAATAAAAACTAAATATTTACATTGATGTGTTAAATATTACTATGAAATCAAATAAATATACTTTTATTTAGGTTATTTATCAATATCTACATTTTGTCCTTTATTTATTTATCCATTTATTGCATATATTTATTTATGTATTTCTACATTTCTTCATTTATTTATTTATGTATTTCTACATTTCTTCATTTATTTATTTATGTATTTCTACATTTCTTCATTTATTTATTTATGTATTTATGTGTCGCTACATTTCTTCATTTATCTATTTATGTATTTCTACATTTCTTCATTTATTTATTTATGTATTTCTACATTTCTTCATTTATTTATTTATGTATTTCTACATTTATTTATTTATGTATTTCTGTGTTGCCGTATGCTAATTAGGTGGGCGGTGCTGAACTCAATGATTGGTGGGCAGTAGGGCAACCAGACAGAAGCAAAGTTAAGCCTAGCGTACATCGACAGAGAAACTGGGGACAACTAGTTGCAAGGCGGCTTTTGGCAACTGAGAGGAGATGATGGAGATGATCAGTTGCCAAAATCGGTCGATGTGAGCGCTCTTACAACTGGAGATGAGCAGTCGGTCTCCAGTTCCAGTCAGTTGCCCGTGTTCTACTTTTCGGCAACTAGTTGTCCTCAGTTTTTGAGACATGACCCGATGTGCGCGCTCCATGCGCCGCTCCGACAACGTGTGTGTATTGCGTGTGTTGCGAGCCCGCCACAGTTTATGTCCGAAAACACACTGTAGTTGAGGCCAGTTGCTGTCGATGTACGCGCTGTTATTCCCGAGACTGGTCTGCTACTGGGAGTTGCCCGTTTTCGTCAGATTGTCGATGTGTGCGGGGCAGCAACTCATATGCGACGGATATAATCAGTTGCCAGTCTGATGTACGCTAGGCTTTAGCCTTCTCGGTTTGTGAGAGGATGTGAAGCTGCTGCTTGTTGAAGAGCGTCCAGCACAGTTGCATCAAAGTCTACCTCTGGGTCAGCACGGTGATGAACTAAAACATCTAATAGTCTTTCCAGCCGAAAGAGTAGATAGTCCTCAGGTGCATTATGCTCAACATCATTAACATCATTTGCTAATGCTCTTAATTGATGAGCAACGGCTCCTAAAAAACTTACATTCGAAACTGCCATCATACCACACAAAAGTGCACAGAGGATCTCTAGCTAGCTAACCGAGTACCGTAATGTGAGGCAGTAAATGATCGAGACCAGAGTTCACGCAATCCTAACCAATCCTGTTCTAGATTGAGTTCAGCACCGCCCACCTAATTAGCATACAGGAACACAGAAATACATAAATAAATAAATGAAGAAATGTAGAAATACATAAATAAATAAATGAAGAAATGTAGCGACACAGAAATACATAAATAAATAAATGAAGAAATGTAGAAATACATAAATAAATGAATGAAGAAATGTAGAAATACATAAATAAATAAATGAAGAAATGTAGAAATACATAAATAAATAAATGAAGAAATGTAGAAATACATAAATAAATGAATGAAGAAATGTAGAAATACATAAATAAATAAATGAAGAAATGTAGAAATACATAAATAAATAAATGAAGAAATGTAGAAATACATAAATAAATAAATGAAGAAATGTAGAAATACATAAATAAATATATGCAATAAATGGATAAATAAATAAAGGAAAAAATGTAGATATTGATAAATAACCTAAATAAAAGTATATTTATTTGATTTCAGAGTAATATTTAGCATATCAATGTAAATATTTAGTTTTTATTGTCCAAAATGAATGTATTTATTAATATATTCCTGTATTTATTTATTTATTTATACTTTAGTCATTTTTGGTCCTCCATACAGGTGTTCCGGTTTCCCCTACCACTAAAAACATGTACAATAGGTCTGAATGTAATGAGTGAATGGATGGTGTTGGTTGGAGACTATGATGCTCCAGTGTGTTCGGCGTCTCGCTTCCGTCATCACCGTCTGTGGAGAGAATGGAAAAATATCTGAACTCTGAACATTGTAAAGCGCTTTGGGTAAAATACACTACATAAATAAAGATTACTTACTTACTACTTACTCTATACAGTCTTTAGACAAATGTTAGATCTCATATTTGTGCTTGAACTTACAAACTACTCGCCGTAAAAATGTTGTCCATATTTTGCAACAACCAACAAGTGGGGACAAAGTGTTTGAGTTAATTAAGGATCTCCACATTATGACCAAAAACAATTAAATGACTGCCGACAGGAGAGTCAATGCACAAACACAACTATTTACCTCAAGTCTGTTTGTAGATGTGAAATTAGGAGCTGAAATCGCACACATGGCCTGAACATCTAACTCCAAGAGATTACTACCGCTGCAATGACACACTTTCTGCCTCTCTGCAACTGTGACCGTCCACCAGCCACGGTTTCATCTTAAGCCCCTATTTTATTATTGAACTCCTGTGAAATCCACCACGCTGTGATCATCAAAGGTACACAGTGGCACAAGCAGCACAAGCAGCACAAGCCCTTCCCCTCTTTCTATTGTATCCTCTCTCATCTCCAAAGTCTCCTGCCCCTCAGAACTTTGAACACAAGGGGGCGTAGACTGATAACTTTGCCTTTTCCCCCTGCCTGCTGCTCCTGCACTGAGGGGCAAATCAGATTATAAGGCTCCTCCTGTCTGACCTTGGAAGGAAACTACTACTTGAATTTACATTTCAAGAGAGGGCCTGGGTTTATTGCATTACCGACAGTGGCGCTCCTGCTTGCACACATCACGGGAGAATAAACTTCCCCGTGGCCCTGCCCTGGACAGTAGAGGAATATCATCGTGAAGGATATGGGGAAAAATAAAATAAAATGCAGCACTGGTGGTTGTTATGGTGGCATTATAAAGAGGCGGTGGGGTTAGCAGTGCGGATGTTTTGATGTAAGACCTTAGAGTGTCAAGGTACAAAGGCAGTCAGAGCAGAGATTGCATTAAAGTTGACATTTCAAACCATTATATTTACAGTTTGGATTTGAAAACTCTGCTTAAAGAGCGTAGTTAAGTAATCATTCTTCAGCCCTGTTTTCTCCGCACCTTTATTTACAGCCTCTGCCTTTATTCGTGTTTGTTTGTTGGTCTTTCACATGTAATGACTTGATCTGCTCCTCTGTTGGCAGTTTGGTGTGATGACGTTCAAGGTGATGCGGTATGTTAGACAGCTGTAAGATTCCCATTTGGAGTCAGTGGATCTTTAATGAAGCTATACATTGTTATAGTTTTAATAACATATCTGAAAACTGCATGATGTGTCTCTAAATAAATAGTTTTTTTCACAACAATGTATTCCATAAATATTGCTTTTCTCTAGCATTCTGCTTCATTGGTGGCTTTTATTAGATTCTTCCCACTAGAGATACAACGTTCAAATCATACAATGGAAAATCTCTATTTACGTTTAATGTCTCATTACAAAAGATAAGGTTAGATTAACTTTATTGATCTCACAATGGAGAAATTTATACGTGTGTCACATTTGACATGAATAGGATCACTCAGGGTGTGATAGGAAGTGTGCAAACATGTGAAAAGATTAAAACCAAGGGAACAACATAAACTGGAAGAGGCCTTACACCAGAACAAGTATAGTTAGGTTTGTGGTGATACAAGCCTGCCAGTTTTCAGTCCCATACAATACATTATAATTCAAGTATGCCTGTTTTTTCCCCCAACTAAACGATTCATTTATTTATCATGCATATAGATTCAAAAGAGCCTGTTTGATTAGGAATCTTATAGAGTGATGGTTGAGGTTTAAACAGCAGATATTACTTTTAAACTATTGAATTAAAATTACATAATACATAATTAACCCAACATTATCTTAGTCTTTCAGTATACGACTGTACCTTGTCGTCTTTATAGCCCAGACTTTTAAACAATTACAGGCCTCTAGTCTCACGTCCCTGTGCGTAATAATGTGTTGAAGGAGCAGCCAACGCGACGGTAGCTTTTGCATTATCGTGCGTTTTATAAGCTTGTCTTCGCGGCCCATAACAGAATAGGACTTTTATTGTCCCATTCCTAATACATACCAGCTCTTCCAGTCCGCGGCTCTGGCATCAAACACCTGTTTATTTGGACTCAGCTGGAGAGCAGCCGCCTCTGCGCTCCCAGACCTCGTGGCTCCATGCGCGCAGTAAAAACCCAGAGAGTGATTGGTCCGACACCCGCATCTGTGAATCTGCGCCCGCCCCACGGTCCGCCCATGCACCTGATAGTCACTATTTACAGCTTTACACATTACCCACTCACTGCTCTGTTTTCTAGAGAGAGATGAAGAGATGACACTTGACTGGAAGTTGGCGATATAACGGAATTACGCACAGGACGTGTTGGGTTTCTTTTCTTACAGAGGGATATACAAGTTTGCCAAAGTTTTCAACATGCCTCGATCATTTTTGGTAAAGAAACATACGAATTCTATCAAAAAGCCAAATTACAGCGAACTGGAAAGCCCCACAGGTGAGTTTCTACGAGTTTGGGTAACTTTGGGTAACTTTTTAACGCTGTTTTTACGCACACTAAAACTTTACCACTCAATGTCTTGTTTCTAGTCTTCATCACGCCGCACTTCTACAGGGGCCTCCCACTGCCTGTCATCCCGCAGCCAGAGATCCTCAGCCCGATCACTGTATGGACTACCAGCAGCCTCCCGTTGTCCCCTCTCCCCAGCGACCTCTCCCCTATCTCCGGGTACCCCTCCTCGCTCTCGGACACCTCCTCCAAGGACCACAGCGGCTCAGAAAGCCCGCGGAGCGACGAGGATGACCTGCTCAAACTGACTGGTGGCGTTGGGGAAGCGGAGAAATTCCAATGCGCGCTGTGCAGCAAGTCCTACTCCACTTACTCGGGACTCCTCAAGCACAAGCAACTGCACTGCGACGCCCAATCGAGGAAGTCCTTCTGTTGCAAGTACTGCGAGAAGGAGTACGTGAGCCTGGGGGCGCTCAAAATGCACATACGGACTCACACGTTGCCCTGCGTGTGCAAAATCTGCGGCAAGGCATTCTCCAGGCCGTGGCTCCTGCAGGGACACATCAGGACGCACACAGGTGAGACGAGTTCTCCAAGACGCACGGGGCCGGGGAGATAATGAAAACGTATTTTTTGAATGGGGAAAAAAATGCCTTCACAATATTGCATGTGACAGTAAGTTGAAATCCAAGCTAGATTTATGTGAGTCCTTTGAGATTTGAAATTGAAACTGTCCGAAAACTTTTTAAAACACACAATATTTCATCACGGAAAGGCCATTTACTGTTATTCATCCAAGTTTTACGCACTCACTTTATAAATGAATCCAAACGATGTAACATTGGAATTTGTAGAATATTTTTTATGCCCAATCACTTCTTAAACAATATAACCCTTTATAACTGGGAATATTGTCTTGCAGGGTACTTTCACGCCCTTGCTTGTTTATTTCAAAATATTGTTTCCTTGTCAAGAAATGCCCATATATGGCATAAACTCAACTAACTCTCAATCAATCCGGATCCTGTTCCTTTCATTGTGATCTGTTTCCATGGAAAGTAGAGTTTACCACTTTGTCTTCCATTGAAAGGAAAAAATATATATTGTCATTCTCCCAATCACAATCTGAAGAACACACTTTCTGGTTTTGGCAACATTTTGAGGACTTTTCCCCAAATCAATAGATAAAATATTTGTTAAATAAGTTAAGATGGTCCTAATTTTGCTTCCATTGCTAATTCTATTCTCTTTTGTGACATGCACTGGGCCTGTACATGTCATTTAGCTTTAGAATCGCTCTTTTAGTCTGTGTCTTTGTGGTGTCATTTGTATTTGACACTTCCCCTTTTTTCTCTGTCCAAAAATTGAGCAATTGATTTAAGCCGTTGACATATTGGAACAAAACTGACATCAGCACAAACCCATTCCTGCGCTTGTCAAGCCTGTATATGCGGCCTTTTGACACATGTCTCACTCCCCGTTTTTCTTCTCCTTTTTTGTGTGTGTTTTGACAGGAGAAAAGCCATTCTCCTGCCCACACTGCAACCGGGCGTTCGCCGACAGATCCAACCTCAGGGCCCACCTTCAAACCCACTCAGATGTGAAGAAATACCAGTGCAAAAACTGTTCCAAAACCTTCTCTCGGATGTCTCTCCTGCACAAGCATGAGGAATCTGGATGCTGCACTGCACACTGAGCTGCAAAGTGGACTGTAGCCATCTTCACAGGGCTCTTGTCTGGCCTGCTTGGCTTCACGTGACATTACGACATTCTTAAGTGCCTAAAAGTTTTAAATAAGACATCTGTTGCTTTGGTCTGCTCTGTAGTTATCGTCTATGGCAATCGTGGATCATTAGCTTATTATTATTTATTTTGAATATTTTAAAATCTCATTAATGGTCCATAAGGAGAAAAAAAACGTGTTTCTGAAATAGATTTTGCAGTGTATGTGCTCTTGTCCAATTATTATATTGGTCATCACAACAAAGAATCTGATTTAGCGGAGAATCCAGGTTTCCTTTACATTTGTGCCAAAATGTCTGCACAAAGTCGCTGTTTTATTAGTGTGTTTCAGGTTAAGAATAATAATCTATGAACAAAGAATGCTGTAATCTGAAATTGGGGATTGTCAGAGGACAGAAGTTAAGTTAAAGATGGATTATCTAACTTTTAAACCGCAAGGAAAATGGAACTATGTCAGGAAATCCATCTAACAGGTTCCTATCTCTCAAAGCACTACTTTATCTTTGACCTCTGTCACATCTGAAGATACAATTTATCAGACAGAAAAGTGAAAAAAGAGAGGACCACCCTCACTCGGCAAATCAGCGCTCAGCCTAAACCATCAAGTAGTGACTCCCAGGGTTCTTTGTTACAGTAATACAAAACAGATAGAAGCTTTTCTAATAAGATAAACATTTTGTAGTCTGGCTTTTACACAAGATTTTACTTTCACAAGACTACTTTCACAGACTGATAAAAAAAATAACTTGGGTACCCTAGCTTTAAATCACTAAAACCTGCAAAAAACCTCTAGCTTAAACAAGACAAGGTTACATCAAGTTGAAGAGCAAGTCAAGTTTTTATTAATAGTTTAATTATAATTATACATTTACTCTCTGAGCACAAATCAACCAAAGTGAAACCTCTCTGGCATTATCCCTTAAAACCTTTTACCAAACATTTGTCGAATGTCACAAACACAACCATATGTACACATTTCTACAGAAAACTATCAGGGAAGAGACCCCCAAAGACAAGCCATATCGCCTTCACCACCCTCTGCCTTTACCTGTGCTAGCTCATGCACTTTTGGGTTTTGCATGTTTACCAAAGCAGTGTCTTCTACTCTCACCAAAGTCAAAAGCTTTTGGTGCCTTTGAGTGGCTGTCAAGACGACTCCCCCTTTTTCTTCATGTGTGCCTTGCGAAAGATTCTATACATAGATCAAGACATTGTAATCTTGGGGACAAGTGCAAGCCTTAAAAAACATGGCCTCGGGTGGTGTCATGAAAACTTTTGCACATGGATTTATGTACTCTCTCCAAAAGGGGCCTCGGCTCACTTGGCCATATAATGTATTTTTTTTCCGACGACTTTCCTATTTTTGTATATTGAATGTATGCGTGACTGAGAAGATTGTATATCCGCAGTGACAAGCTGTGATTCCGAATGATATTTGATTTTTTTTTTTTTCTTTCCTCGTGACACTTTGACAAATAAAGTTTCATGGTGTTTTTTTGTATATGATTTTGAAGTCTGTGTGTTTGTCTGACTGGAGAGCAGAGCGGGGGGGGAGGGGTATATGAGGTGATAGTGGATTGATGTGACTAGGAGGAAAGCTATTTTCTCTGTTCAACTGCCTGTGTGCACCAAATTGAATGAAAATGCACTTTTTTTTTGAAGCCTGGTTCCAAAGTAGACTATAAAGTACGTGTGCATGAGCCGAGGAGCACTATTTATGTTCGAGTAAAATGGTAAACAAGTTGTGCAGAGTTTGTGGACCGCTGCAGAAACAATTCTATTTTTCGTGTGTGACGTTGAGCAAAAAAATGTCTAATACAAAGGGAACTTTTTGCGTGTTGAGTCCATCTATACCCACAGTGCGGCATTACATTTACCATATCAATCAATCAATCAAATTTTATTTATAAAGCGCTTTTCATACAAAAAGTGTAACACAAAGTGCTTTACAGTTTAGTTAAAAACAATCCAACATGCCCAGCCCTAAACCCTCCTCCCCACAGACCCCCCAAAACCACATTTATAAGTAAGTAAGTAAGTTTTTATTTATATACCGCCTTTTCACTGCAGATCTGAGTCTCAAAGCGGTTTACAATTGTTAATTTTGGGCATTTGTCTCTCACTCCACACAGAGATGGGAGCGGGGTCACCAGTACAGGAGGCACATGCCAGACCTATTGTACATATTTTTAGTGGTAGGGGAAACCGGAGTACCCGGAGGAAACCTACGCAGACACGGGGAGAACATGCAAACTCCACTCAGAAAGGCCCTGGTCCGACCGGGATTCGAACCCAGGACCTTCTTGCTGAGAGGCGAGAGTGCTATCCACTCAGCCACCGTGCCGCCCTATAATTATATATACAATACACACACCCCACACACACACACACACGCACACGCACACACATATACACAAGTATAAAGTCATATCAGGTAAAATAGGTAAAACAATAAAAAGACATGGGGCTGGGAGCAGATGTAACCGGCTGAAGAAGCGTCATCCAAGGAGCCATCTGCACCAGGAGCAGAGAGCCGGCTGCAGCCACAGGCAACGACACAGGACCCAGAGGAGAGAGGGGCCCCAGACCCCACCAGGCCCAGGACTCAGACCCCATAGGACCCAGAGGAGAGAGGAGGCCCCAGACCCCCACCGGATCCAAGAGCCAGTCCCCCGAAGCCGCAGCAGACCCCAGCTCTCAGTGCAGAGGGCTCCTCCAGAGGAAACACTGGGGACACTAAAACAATACAATAATACAAAGAAAAATGGCAGCTGCCTAATATTGATAATAACAATAGTAAATGGGTAGATACAATAAATAATTAAAAATAGTAAATAATAAAAATAAATAAAAATATAATCCGTCTAAAAACATAAATAGATGTACTAAAAAGCAATAATAGATAATAAATACTAATCAAAAGCTGCTCTAAAAAGGTGCGTCTTGAGCCTACTCTTAAAAATATGAACTATCCTATCAATGGGGAGGGGAGTCGACCTAATGTAAGAATTCAGGCTATTGAGCAGTCAAGACATCTGAAATTATATAACTTAAATAATAAGTTTTATGTCATAAGGAGGAGCATTGTAAAAAAAAGAATATAAAATAAATGAAACAAAGTTGTGCATTGGACCTTTAAAATACTAGTAATTCATCAAATTCTGTGGCCCTTACTTTGTATACAGTATATCTACAAAACAACACCACACATAACAATGATAATAATACATTTTAATTATAATGCACCATACATATCCAGAAAACCTCAAAGTGCTACAGATTAAAATACAAAACCACAAACAACAAAGCAAAGCAAAAAATAATCAGAAGTATAAAAATACATCAACAAGATACATGGAGGGTTAAAAACTAAAAGAACCCATACACTAATAACAAAAACATTCTTGTAGAGTTATGTTGATACATTTTAATACCTAAAATTCAAATGCAAATACATTAAGGATCATTCTCTGTGATCTTTACCGGAAACCATGCTTTATTGAAAGTCATTTTTCATTCTAGCGATTCAAAAATTGCACCTATAACAGGAGAAAGTATGAAATTATAAAACGCATGAAAACAAGCAAGTTACAGGTCATACAGTGCCTTGCGAAAGTATTCGGCCCCCTTGAACCTTTCAACATTTCGCCACATTTCAGGCTTCAAACATAAAATAAATAAATTTTTTGTCATGAATCAACAACAAGCGGGACACAATCGTGAAGTGGAATGAAATTTATTGGATAATTTAAAGGCACACCGCGGACTTTGTGACCTAAAGAGTTGACACATGAGTTATTTTATATGAATACTTGGGCCAATATACAGCGCTTGACACTTGCAATGCTCCGAGCGGGGCTGCCCTCTTGAAATACCGCCCATGTAACTTTCGAGCAGACGGACCGTCTGCCACCAGGTCACGTGACTTGGAAGAAACACTTGCTTTACGGCTACAGGCGCTGATATACTCATGGAGCTAAGGCTTTTGCTACTCATTTTTCACCTGCTCGACTCCTGGTCATGGCTGAGGCAAGGAAAAATTTTAAACCTTCGGAGGAGGCTAAAAAGAGGAAACGCGAAAGGGATCGTGCTGTAAGCTGCATGTCTGTATGAGCGCTGCTGTTCACCTGGTTCCTGGATGTCATCGACTGCAAAGATGTCATTCCACGCAGCACGAGCTAGACGCAGAACTCCCTCATCCAGGATATAGAAGTCCATGTGTGGTAGATTACTAATGCAGCGGTCTGGAGGCTGACCACAGCAGAGTCTCTCAATATCTGTAGGCATGTCTCTACAGTTTGAACACACACACCAGTGCATGCTGTCTGAATACACACTCAAAAGACACCGGCTGACTGTTTGTTGACTTTTGCGACAGTGCTGAGTTGCTTGTGGCCACTAGGGGCGCTAAACGTGAAAGTTGCAGGTCTAGCGCCCCTAGTGGCCAAGAGTTACACGGTGTGCCTTTAAACTTTTTTAACAAATAAAAAACTGAAAAGTGGGGCGTGCAATATTATTCGGCCCCCTTCACTTTCAGTGCAGCAAACTCACTCCAGAAGTTCAGTGAGGATCTTTGAATGATCCAATGTTGTCCTAAATGACTGATGATGATAAATAGAATGCACCTGTGTGTAATCAAGTCTCCGTATAAATGCACCTGCTCTTTGATAGTCTCAGGGTTCTGTTTAAAGCGCAGAGAGAACCATGAAGACAAAGGAACACACCAGGCAGGTCCGAGATACTGTTGTGGAAAAGTTTAAAGCCGAATTTGGATACAAAAAGATTTCCCAAGCTTTAAACATCTCAAGGAGCACTGTGCAAGGAATTATATTGAAATGGAAGGAGTATCAGACCACTGCAAATTTACCAAGACCCGGCCGTCCCTCCAAACTTTCATCTCAAACAAGGAGAAGACTGATCAGAGATGCAGTCAAGAGGCCCATGATCACTCTG